TGTGATGGACTGGCACCCCGTCCAGGGTGTACCCCAGCCCCGTGTCCTGTGATGGACTGGCATCCCGTCCAGGGTGTACCCCAGCCCTGTACCCTGTGATGGACTGGCACCCCGTCCAGGGTGTACCCCAGCCCCGTGTCCTGTGATGGACTGGCATCCCGTCCAGGGTGTACCCCAGCCCTGTACCCTGTGATGGACTGGCACCCCGTCCAGGGTGTACCCCAGCCCCGTGTCCTGTGATGGACTGGCATCCCGTCCAGGGTGTGCCCCATGTCTGAGAAAAGTATTTGGCCGATAATAATGCAACTTAATGTATGTCTGCTGTTTTCTTGCAATATCAGTTTCTCAATTGAATATCTGTTAAAAATCCATTTCTGTGTTCCCTTTCTTGCCTACTCTCATTTACGAGATTGTCATGAATGTGTTGCATTGCCCTCATTTAAATATTTCCATAACAACCATGAAATAAGCATGAATAAGGCCAATGTATGACAGTGGAATATGGGATCAAGAAGTTACTATTGATGAATTAGTGTGTTATTGTCATGCATGTTCACAATAACATATAATGGAGAATATGTTACTAATGTGGACTACAGCACACCAATAGCAAAATAGCAGCAGAAATGCATAAGTACAGTGCATCTCTCTTCCTGAGTAAGTCTGGCATTTAGTGATTTCCTTTCTCTCTTAATTAGCACAGTTGCAGTTGTAGTGTGTGTTTGATTGAAGCGAGAAAGGTTGAATTTCAGTAAATTTTTACTCTGCAAGATGTGACAATGAGATGTGATTTACAGTATAAATTTACGGTAGATTGTGAAGACACGGTTTCAATCAGAGGTATTTTATTTAAGCTCACGAAGGCAAAAAAACTTGCAAAGATATTCACTGAAACCTTGCTAAAAAGAAATTGAGAAACACTCTATGATAGCTGCAGGAACTTTCTGACTTTAATGTTCCCTTTACGCCTGAGTGTGCAGTAGCAACAGGACGCCACATTCATGCTCTGTAAAGGAAAAAAAACAGCTAATGTGCAACCAGGCCACAAATCATTTCTATAAACTGCTCCCTGACCAAATAGATTTTGTGTTCATGCAATGGACAGGTTGCTTTATGGTAACAAAAATTCAGGTGCCGCTGTTTATGAGGAAGACTTTAAGCAGGGACAGGCTTGGTTGTGCCTGGAGCACAGTGCGTGAATGCTAACGAGGTTAGCGCTCCTCTGTCTCCGCTATCCTGCCTGTGACATTCAACATACTTTACAGTTTGTGATTTATGAGGTCGTTTCTGCTTTGCCTTCATGGCTTTCGTTTGTGCAGATTTATATTTTCTGCCTTAAGGCAGAAACTCCTGAGGAATATGTACACACGATTTGAGAGGCGGTGGGCCAGGCGTGTCACACATAAGCTTGTTGAGTTTCTTCATATGTGTGTGCAGCATACATGATAAAAAATCTCTGTGTCAGAATGGCTGACTGCATGGCAGCACAAACCTCAACAGAATACTAAAGTAAAAAACCTAGTAATGATGCTCTCATGTTGTTCTCATCATAACTGGCAAGTAAAATCACCTATTCTAATTGCATAATAAAAAGGAAATTGTGCAATCACATTATGCTATGATGTTATTACATTCTGCTGGTGATGGGACTCTAAAGCCAGAGGATATTTGGGTAGAGTCCTTAATATCGGTGAACAAAAAGATGGCGCAGAGGTTCAAAGCATTTAGGACTGAAAACGCCTAGTTAAACCGAATGAGATTAATGAAGCAATAAGATTGATAGGAGATTCAGGGCAAGGTCCTGAAAGTGCAGAGCGGTCAGTTCTCGGGAGTGTGGGCAGGAATGACAAACAGAGCGAGTCCGTCCTTCCACACGCAAGTATCGTCTTTGCTCACCTCGTTTGGCATCTTGAAAGGTTCCATTCATTATAGCCTGTAAAGTTCAGGGGTTTTCAAACTTAAGTGTTCTGACCTTTTAATACGCTGGGAAAAAAATGTACAGAATCACGGCTGGCTTTCATCCAGTACAGTTTTATCACTGTCGCAGCTGCTCTTTGGCGTAATTAGCCTAACGAAAAAGGAATTATAATAACGAAAAAACGTACATTTCTAGCATCCTTTTAGCTACATAATTAAATGACACATTTTGGTCTTGACACTATTGAGCTATTACTGGTGGTCGTGAAATACCATGTGCAGTGAAAAAGACACACCACGTTACATTACTCAACTGATCTGAATTTGTTCACAAACTAATGTCCGACACCATTTAATTTAGGAGCAATCAAGCATTTTGCATGTGCTGCGGAACAGTAATAAGAGGAATTAAAACAACATTTAATCTCTGTCTAGGAAATTTCAAAGCCATTGCAAATTGTTTGTTTTATCCTGAGGGAGAGACATGCTGTCTCGCTGAACTGAATGATGGGAACAGTTGATTTTAGTTTTCCAAAAAGCCTCTTCATTCCATTTTAAGTGTGCCTG